TAATCGATTAAAAGAAGTTTGTATCGATTAAAATATTGTAAAAACACTTTTTAAAACATTCTAAGTGTTTTAAATTGATTCTTTCAAACCTTTATCAGTTAATAACTTGTTTAAGAAAATTCTTTGCCAAAATGCTTTTGTTTTTGATTTGTTTAAAACTATTTTTGAGGCATTTTGCAAATTGAGTGAAGAAGCTTTATGCAGTGGAAAAGGTAAAGTGGTTTTACCTAAGCTTTCTGTTTAGACACACTAAGTCTTCAGCTCCTTTGTTCTGAGTGACTTGTTTGACTGCTGCAGAGTTGACCCTTGACTTTATTTTTGACTTCATCAAATCAATGAGATCTTTGCTAGGATCACTTTCATTATGTTTTTCTTCGGGCTTATTGTTTCTCCTTTATTCTTGGGAGCATTGTCTTGTAGCTCCTTGGGGGAGTAGATTCTTTTACTTCTAATTTTGGCCCTAATGCCAGCTATGCTGGAGATATCCTTGTTAATGGGCGGTGTTTTTGCATATCTCCATGGTGCAGCCTTATTTAATGTATGGGGTGAACAAATGTAACGACATCCTTGCCCCTTCTTCCTTATTTATTCAGATGACCAACGGTTGAGGCTTATTATCCTCTTTAGGCGGATCAACCATTAGAAAAAAAACTTGACGACGAAAGGTTTGCTCTTCATCCTACTTCGATTCGTGGAAAGCACATCAACTAATCCTTTCTTTTTATTATCTTATTATTATTAAGGTGAGAATGAATGCAATTTATGAGTGCAATTTATGAATGCAATAGACACTTGAAGAGATGATGAAAACAAACAATTTTATTTATTTCATCCTGACAGTGTACATTCCTCAATGCAATGTTTCGAAGTACATTTTTTTTTAAAAGTGGGGAAGCCTAAATGAACCCATAGGCATTTCTATTGATTTTCTTTTTGACTTCTCGTGCATGGCATGCGAATGCCCTAATCCTCTTTTCATGGTATTGAGGAATGTCCACTTCTTTGATTGCATGTTATGAGGATGAAGTTTGGTGGATGCATGTATGCAAGTGTTTGTTTTTTCCTAAACATTATCATGTTTTATTTTCTAACATGATGTATGATAGTGTTTGGGATTTTGTGTTTTTTTTTGTATGCGGATGAGGACATGAAGAATATCAGCCGCTTTCTAGAATGCACATGAATTAGGGTTTTTATTAAAAATGAATGATTGGTGTGGGATAGATATGCCTTAAGACAATGACTTTGACATCATCCTTAAAGTTTATGCTTTGCGGAGTGTCATACCCACTTCGGCAGAATGGTTCTTTCCTCATAAAGGTCACCATATGCCTTAACACACTTATCTCTTCCTTATGGAAGATTATGAGCGCACTTGGGCCTCTTTCGCCTTTGTCTTAGGGATATCTAATGCCCCCTAGAGTGAATGTATCTATGCATGCACCAGTACAAAAGGGCAGCAGATGTTCAAAGTGGCATAACTTTTGACTGGTATGTCCGATTTAGACGCACAATATATCAAAACAAAGAGAATAGGGTGAAGAACAAGGTTACAAATCCCCAAAGGGGATTTGGCCTGGTAAATTTCCCAAAAAACGCTTCTAAGACCCACTTTTTAGGGATTTAATTAGGGCCATGTAGATATTTAATTACTGCATGTAGATAAATAAATAGGGTAAAGACATAATTTTTGTATCTTTATTTTATAATTAATCCATCATAGGGAACCCGAAAGGGGCATTGAGGGGTGCTAACACCTTCCCCACATGTAACTAGCTCCCTTACCTAACTCTAGTTATAATGGCCAAAGTTTGTTTTTCTTAAACCAACGCCTTTTTTTTATTTTTCAATGTTTAAGGTTAAAACATTGATGGCGACTCCTTAAAACCCTTTTACAGAAACCTCATTCGTAAGGATAGTTTGGTTAACGAGCATTCTAAGAATGATGACCACATTTTAGAAAATGCGAGTCACAAACCATCGCGTCGCTATTGACTGCCTTCTCGGTTCCCCTCCCTCTCGTGGAGGGGACAGCGACGACACCAGTAAAATGATGATTACTATCAACCACCACCTAGGCATTATCATAGGTCTATAACTCAAAACTATACTAAGGAACCTAAGGTATACCTTCTCCCATTCTATAAAAACATAATGTAGAAGAATATTTAGATTAAGAGATGAAGATGGAACGACTTTTTGAATGCCATCAGAGGAGACAAGGGTGCCTATGACAACCTTAAGTTTTCAAAGGCATGCAATGTATTGGCCGACTTCCCTTACGAGAGATAGGAGAATTCATAATGACCCCTAAGTGAGGTATTCAAATGAACTTAGGAATTCCCTAAGGAAAAAATATGTACCCTCTTACTATGAGAGGGAGTTGATGGACAAGCTCCAAAGACTCCAATAAGGAAACATGACTATAGAAAAGTACAAGCAACAAATTGAATTGCTCATGATGAAGGCTGGGATAAAGGAAGACCTAAGGACAAACCCCAAAAGGACTAAAGTGATACAAAATCAAGTAAATGATTTTCTTAAAAGGGTTGGGTTGTTCCTGTATTATTGGTCCCCTAGAAAAGATAGGTCATGGAGAATGTGTATAGATTGTAGATCCATCAACAATATCACTGTAAAGTATAGGCATCTAATCCCAAGGTTAGATAACATGCTAGATGAG